GAAAAGCTCCCCAATTTGATAAAGTTTATTTTATCCTTATTAATAACTATTATTAAAACCATCACCATCAAAAGATACCAGGATGGACTAAATAATCATTCTCTCTCTCTTTCACACACACACACACATTTTACATAATCAAAAAACAGTATTTACTTTAATTCTGCTGGCATGATTTCAGCTGCTAAATTATCCATTGGAGAAGAAATGTCTTCCAATATAGCATCTGCAATAAGGAAGGGAACAAATATNTCTATTCTAAAACAGAAACCATTCCCTTGGACTATACATCATCATTAAGTGACCCAACATGATTCTATTAGATATGGTGACTGTAGAAAATATTTTATCATTTTCTTATAATTTCCATTTTATAAGGAGATAAAAAGTGTGACAGGAATTCTCAGCCCAGGATTGCTGATGAGAATTATGAGAACTGATGTCCATAAAGCAAAAATATTCTTGTTGGAGAAAACTGTTACGGAGAAATAGATGTACTTATGACCAATGAGCTGCTTAAGACCAATATAAAATATTTTACATTTTCTCAAATCCCTTTACAGATCTTAAAATCTATGCCTATAGATCTGTTGTGGCCCAGCAGGAGCCGTTGGAGCTGTCACCAGACTCCAACAGTGAGGGGCCCTATGAGTTGGCTCTGGAGGATGTGGAGGACCCTGGACAGGGTTCTGACTCCAAACAGGGCACAGAGAGGCTGGTTGGCCACCAGGAGGCATCTGAGCCTTGGACCAGTGGGGAGGAGACAAGGAAGAGTGAGCCGGACAGTTGCACAGTTACAGGAGGTAATTGCACTCAGCTGGTGGTCATTAGGCTCCTCTCCAGACTATAAAAAGACTGCTTGTGCACATGCCCCTTTTGCAGAAGTCAACGCAGGAACGAACGTTGGAGAACATTATTGTGATCTTGGCAGGCTGGATTGCTACCAAGCCTTATCTGTGCTGGATTGCTGCCCAAGCTTGTCTGTGCCGGTTTGCTGCCAAGGACCTGTCTGTTAATTAAATGCCGTAACTTATCTTTGGCTCGGAGTGTGTGTTGGTGTGGGATGAGGGGGGTCAGAACATAAGATCAATGGGCAGCAAGGCAACAGCATATACAATGAGGAAAATGCAAGTATTCCTACATCCCAGAATGCCATTTTTATATATCCCCACTTTCTAAATATTTTATCTTATTTAGACTGTTTCTTACACATTTTGCTTTCAGGGTTCCTTCCTACTTTTAAAAATTATGGATGACTCCAAGACTGCTTTGCTCCAACACTGCTTTGCGTTTAAAACATTTTATTAGATTATAGAATAAAATACAAAAATACAAAAGCAAATAGGACACATGGGGAGGGGAAGGGGGAAAGAAAAGTGAGGAGGCGAAGGAGAGAAAAAAAGTGTTGACTTCCGACTCCCTCTGTTGCAGTAGAATAAGGCATTAACAACAAACCTCAACTTTTAACTTTTCCCTAATATTATAAACTAGCCATTTCTTTAAAATCATATCAATCAAATTGGTTAAACCCAAAATCAAAGTTTTATTTTTTCCCACCTCAAACAGAAAGTTCAGAAGTGGTCTCCATGTGGAAACAAAAGTACTTATATTCTTTTCTTTGATTAAAACAGTCAATTTAGCCATCTCTGCACACTATATTAAAAATTAAATTGATGAGACATGCATGGAATTATAAGGTGTAATGTCTCAACAAAAGTATATTTCATAGAAATCCTTCCCCCCCCCCAATGTTTTCCTACAAATCAGGATGGATTTGATTTAAATCAAGTTGATTTAAATCATAATTTTTAAAGAGCAACTGTCATTTCTGTTCCGCAGCGGCACCTCTGACCCGCTGTTGTCTCACCAACAGTCCCAATATTGCAGAATATATAGCCTCATGCTACATAACTAAGCTCCATTTCATGCACAATAAACTAAATTATTAATGTATCTTAAATAGAAAACTATTTTTAGATAAAAATTTTACTCCAAAAGCATTTTATAAAACTAAATTTGATGAAAATAAAAAAATCCAATTTAAATAAAAAAACTATTTAAAATTTAAAAATCTTATTTTTTTAAAATCGATTTTTTTATCTTCCCTGCCACAAATCCAGAGTTCTGATTTTTTTTTCAGTTCTACTGAGTGTAGATCCATTGCTTGCCATAGAACAGTGGTAGTCAACCTGGTCCCTACCGCCCACTAGTGGGCGTTCCAGCTTTCATGGTGGGCGGTAGGGGTTTGCTGTAACTGCTTTATAAATTTTATAAAGTAAAGTTACTTTCCTACTTTATAAATCACCATTACTGTGGAACCGGTGGGCGATTAGAAAATTTTACTACTAACAGAGATACAAAACTGGGTGGTAAGTATAAAAAGGTTGACTACCCCTGCCATAGAAACTGACAAGTCGTTTGTCACCAAGCATGTCATCATGGGCTGAAAAACCATGACTGGCTCAAGGCACCCAGGCAGTTGTCATACCTAAGGAAGGACCAGAATTCACAATCTCCTGGATTCTAGGCTGGTGCCTTAACCACTAGACCAAATGGCATTCTCTAATGCCCTGTAGGTTTTACAGCCTTTGACATCAGACTGCATGGGATCTCCTTAAGTTTAGGAATAGGATAACTAAATTTGTTAGCTGAAACTAGTGGTTTACTATGTATTGAGAGCTCCCAATCAATCTTGCTAATAATGTAACAGGATATAGACAGCTGCTTTTTCTTTCATTAATAATATGGCAATCACTTCCAACCTTTTCATATAAAAGATGGCTGGTTCTTGATGTAAACACTATGTTGGTGACCATTCCAGTCTGAATGTGGCAGAAGCATTAGTCATTTTGCAACTAATTACTATCTGGGTTTCATATAAAAATATTATTTCTTATAAGTGGGAAGCTTCCAACAGCTTTGGATCTGCCAGATTTGTATAGAAGATGAACTCTGTGCCTTTAATACATTTGCAAAAAAATATGTTTGGCAAATGCAGCCTCTTGTTTCTCATTGTTGCAGTGGGAAAAAAAGCTGCCCTTCCTTATAATGCAGCTTTCAATCCAAATCTAGCAACAAATAACTGTAATATTTTCTTTCCTGGGATAAGCCTAACAGCTGGCATTTTAGAAAAGATGCATAACAAGATAAAGGAAATGGTATTTGCACAAGATGACCAACGTTTGCAACTACTGTACTGCTCATTAAAGATAAAAAAGATAACAAGGCAATTATGCTGGGCAGCCATTCTGAAAATGCCAATTTGGGAATTGCTCA